TATGTTATTCCACTTCATACTGAAGAAAGAACAGAGAATATGGAAAAATGTTTCCTCCTATCTATTGGCTGGAAAAATAGAATCATTTTCTGTGTGTTTCTTAGAATTTCAGGCATTTAAGATTATTTAACAGATTATAATACAGCTAATTGCTCACTCAATTAAATGAAAAGTTCTAAGAGTTTTACCAACGCTAAGCCCAATGAAGAAATATTTATCAATGATGAATTACTGAGCATCCTTTTAATCAATAGTATATACTCCTACCCAGCAGAAAGAAGGGCCATGATCCTCCCTAATTCACTGATTTGAACATATGATAGAAATGATAAGGATGTATGTTTCTGCTAACTGAAAATGGGACTTAAATTATATTTGCCTCTAAAGCAATCAGTGTCCTAGATCTCTTCTGACCCTTAATTGCTCCCTGTTGGCCTCGCACCTCGAGAACTCTTCCTCAAGAAATTGATGTTCTGAATTTATTAAAGAAAGAGCCAAGAAACTGTCTCTGAAACTGGCTGCCTCCAGGGAACCTCAGCTCCTGAACCTTAGAATATCAGACTTGGGTACTGGCAGTAGGTCCTCTGTACAGAGCCAAACCAGCCCACAGGAAAGCAGGTTTGGATCCGTTATGCAACTAGAGGGATTAGTGCTTCGTCTACCTGTCTTATAAATGACTTTCTTGTGCAAACATCAAGCATTGCTGAATTGTGCCTCTTTCTGATGATTCTCACAGATTCAAAGACTGGATTTTGTGTACAGTCAGCAGAGTTCTGAGAGCTCCAGAAAGAAGAGGAAGGTCAGCGAACCAGTGAAAGTCTTCATTCCTGACAGAAAATGAAAGTAGATAGTTTCATTGCATTTATTTTAATTTTATTTTGCAACAAATTTACATGAAATGTCTTAGTAAAAAAAGTAAGTTCCTATACCAAAACCTTTTGCTAAATATGTTGTTCAACTTTTTAAAGTCAATTTACTAAGTTACTGGATAGAACATAGGTTCACTTTGCCATAAGGAAACAAGGTCACCAGGGCTGCTTTAAAATTGTATTACTTTGAGGCTGAGTTAGAGGTGAGATACATTTTATATTTGTAAAAGAACCACAGAAGCTATTTTGAAAAGAAATAAACTGTTGTTCTCAAAGGAAAGAAGGATTTTCTTTGCATAATTAAATTCCCTAGGTATTTTCACACTAGGCATTTAAACTAGTGTGAACTGTTTTAGCTTGTTATAACCTGTGTACTAGAATTCCTCCCTAGCTTAATTAGAATTCCCACAGAATTGCATAGGATGTGCGTGGTGAGGCTTATCTAGGTCTGATTTTTGTGTTAACTTCAATCAAGTCAATTGTTGATCAGCCAATTGTTGGACTGAAATGTGCTCTCCCTGTAAAGTTCCTGAAATCTGGCCCTGGGATCTGTACTTTTGGCCTGTCCAAGACTAAGGAATAGTTTGCAATGCAGAAGCCTCGCTCTCTTCGTAAGGCCCAGTTTGAATGCTCCCCAACAAACACTTCACTTTATCAATCTTTAATCTGCAGGTGATGCTGCTAGTCTTGTCCTTATTCTGAAAGAATTTTGATAGACTTAATGATTAGTATAAGTTTAATAATAAATGACATAGTGTTAATTTTACTACCTATATAATATGGAATTTAATAATTTAAATGGATTGTAAGTCATATGTAAACTAAATTATATAAGCAATCAATTCAATATTAAGTATATATACTTTCTGGCTAAATAAAAGCAAAATTTAACTTTTTTTTCTCATCTTTTTTTCTTCACTTAGATCAATATTTCTCCAGGTGTAGTAAGGACATTAATTCTTGTAGTGACTGTTAAAATACAGATTGCTGGGCCTGCTTTATTTTTACTAAATAAAAATCTTAATGGTAGGACCTTGTAGAAGACTTTTTGGATTTCATGTATGCAGAATATTAAGAACCCAGGACCTTATGCCCAGAATAAGAGGACAAATCTGGGGTCAACTGTACACTTTAGCCAGCCAAAGGCTCTCTGTGACTGTAACATAGGAAAACCCAAGGAGACCTCCCTGACCAGCACTATCCTTTGCTGTTGTGTCCATTCCTGACTACCCACAGTTAGCCTGCACACTGAGGTCTTGAATTGGGCTGTAGAAACAGGGTGGCCACGAAGCAGCATTTCCCTGGCATGTTAAGTATATTCAATAATCTTACTCTACCACTACAGGGAAAAGGAGGGGCGCTCCCTGGTGGTGCAGTGGGTTGAAGCATAGCACTGTGAAGCTAGCCACAGCTACTTCAGGGCCAGTTCAGGAGGTGACCCACATGGAGCAGCAGACTTCTCCAGTCTCGCCCACCGCTCCTCTCAGCAGTGGATTTCGTTGCTCTGCCTGTTCTGCTCCCCACTCTGTCTCTGGTGAATCCTCTCACCCCCCTGTACATCTGGCCTATACCCCCATCTGGCCTGTATGCGTAAATAATAAATATTTTTTTAAATAAAGGGAAAAAGGAGAGGTAAAGGTACTGGGTTTGTTATATCCTTCAGGATATAACAGTATAGCCTGAGTCATCACAATTTCTTTTAAGTGAATTACCTAAAGAATTTAGTTGTCTAGTAGAGTCATTAGGCTTATTTTGTGTTTTTCCAAAGGGTAGGTCTTAGACCAAACTGGTAAGAACTACAAGATGTCAATTTGGATTAGAATAAGGAAGAACTTTTTAACTCCAAAGATTGTTGATATTTTGAAATGGGCTACCTTGTGAGGTCACTAGTGAGCTTGCCTCCACTACAAGTGTTTGAACACAAAAGAGCTTTATAGAGACTCTAGGAATCTTAAAAGCAAAATAATTAGAAGGACTAAGTAGTCAATCTGGACTTTAAAGGAGTCATTTTGTTTAAAAGGGGGAATTCAACTCTCAACCTATATTTACAATTTTCATAAACTTGGTTTAATGTTGACAGATCCATTTAGTCACAGTCTGCAATCTGAATCCATTTAGAATATTTCTATAATGATTTTTATTGCCTCTCAACACCCTCTGTCCCAGCAAAACAATCTTCTATTGATGTCAATAGATGGAATGTGTATGTGTGATGCCGTGTGTATGAGGCAGCACAGAGAGGTTCCTGGATCTATAGCCTTAGCTGAGCACATAGGAAAAGAGACCTGTTATCAAGAGGATTTGAGAACCATGAAAATGTGAACTGGCTGATCTTATATAGCACAGCTCATATATGCAACCAGTTATCAAGACTGAAATATATTCAATTTTGTTTATTGGATGATTTATTAGAATGAAAAAATGTTTTCTCTGGTCTATTAATTTCTGTCACTAATAGTAATGGAATGAATAAACTCAAGTTCCTGAGCAGCTGAAATTTCAGTGAAAAAAATGAAAACTTAGATATGAGCTGGGGATTCTGAGCTGTTTCTATATTACCCATTCCCTCACACTACCTGTGCTTGGTTCTTCACTATGTTAACAAAGATTAGATGATCATTGCTTGGAAACTGGGACATTGTTGAATTAAAAATTATGCAGGGGAAATTTGACTTTGCTGTTTGGGGTTTTTCTGTCTTTACAGAAAGTTGGCCTAACTGGAAAGAGATAGGTTAGGCTCATGATTGCCACCAGTCTTTGAAGCCAGGCGTCAAAACCGCACCTCACTTCCCCTCTCTTAGTTTATCTGGGTTCTTTCATTCACCACCTTAGCTCCGCCAGAAACTGGAAATGTTCATCAGTATCAAAGTTGCACTCATATAAGTTCAAAGTTGTGTGTGTGTTTTAAAAATGTCACTAATCATTAGAGCCAATGAGTTGAATTGTTAATTTATGGTTTTTAATTCAATAATATTGACACTTCAGAGATTTTCATTGATTCTTATAATAAAAGTAATGCACATTTATAAACATTATCATTTGAAGGAGGTCCCAGGTGATAAAATGATCTTGTAAGAGGACAAATGATACCCTTCATTCTGTATGAGTGTAGTTTCTGTATATGTGAGAAAAGCCTTTGTCCCAGGTAAATTCTTTTTAGGAATTAGTTTGTATTTTTAAAAAACTAATATTTTTTAAAAAGATTTATTTATTTATGCATACAGAACTGGGGTACAGGTCAGAGGTGCAAGGGGCAGTGAGAAGATTCACCAGAGACAGAGTGGGGAGCAGAACAGGCCAACTGACAAAGTACACTGCTGAGGGGAGCAGCGGGCAGTCAGTAGAGGTCTGCTGTGCCATGTGGATCACCTCCAGGGCCAGGGATCAAACTCATGCTAAAGTGGCTTTAACTTTTTAGTGCTGTGGCGCCACCAGGGAGGGCCCTACAAACTAATATTTTAAGTGTGATTGTGTTATTTTTGTAATGAGGGCTTCATTGAGACTTGCTACTCAGTTTACAGCTTGTCATTGACAAGAGTACCACTGGGAGCCTTAATGAACCCTTTGATTATGCAATGGTAAAGCCAAGGTTCTATCCAGAAATGGGGACATTTGAAGTATTAACCTGTTCATCTAGCTTCCCCTTGGAAGTTAGATCATCACCGCAAATAGGGCTTCCTTCTGGGACTATCAAATTTGTTGAGACTGACTCTTACAAGAGGTGGTGGGGGTTCGCTACTACTGACAAACTGTGATGTCAAAGAGGGGGCAGTAGTGGTTACACTGATGCCTGAGACCTAACTGAAAGTTGCACATGAGACTCATTGAATAGAGGACCCTGGAAAAAGTCTCTTAAACATTTTAGTCTGGCCTTCATTGTGTTGTGATGTTCAGTCATAGAAGGATTTCCCTGTGGAAGGGTAAAGAGGTAAGCTGATTGAAATAGCAAAAATTATCCAAAATAGGCTGGTAGAAGAGCATGGACAAAACCCTGGTGTAAGAGTAGACTTCGAGGGTAGTTATTTGGATATTGTAGGACTCCTGAAGACTGGAAGATTCTGTGTTCCTTTTGGATTACAAATTGACTATAGGAGAGGCTTGCAGTTTTCATCTTCCTTTTAGTAAGTTAGTTAAGAAATAGCCTGGGCTGCTGGCTTCAAAACCAATTGTCATTTTATAGACAAGTTATTTCTACTTGCTAGCTCTCAGTTTCTTCAATCTGTAACACATGGATCTTAATAGTAGCTGCCTAATATCATTGTTGTGAAAATTAAGTAGGAAACTGAATCTAATTGCCCAACACAGAGTTCAAAAATGTTCATCATTGTTACTATTTTTTTAAAAAAGATTTATTTATTTATACAGAACTGGGGTACAGGCCAGAGATGCGGAGGGTGAGAGGCTTCACCAGAGACAGAGCGGGAAGCAGAACAGGCAGATCGGCGAAGTACACTGCTGAGGGGAGCAGTGGGCGGGCCAGGAGAGGTCTGCCTCACCATGTGGTCACCTCCGGGGCAGGCGGGAATCGAACTCATGCAGAAGTGGCTTTAGCTTCTTAGTGCAGTGCTTTAACACGCTGCGCCACCAGGGAGGGCCTCATTGTTACTATTTTTTAACTCATGATGTGTCCGGGCTCTTACTCTCAGAAATTTAGATTCCTGTGCTGCTTTTGGCATACACAGACCCTGCATCAACACCTTCTTCAAGCCTGAATTAGCACTTGAACCATGCTCCCAGTGGCATATATTCTCAAAACCCTCCCACTCCTATCCTCAAGTGGAAATTCTCTTTCTCTCAAGATAGTTTGATGGAAGGGAAACATCAGATTAAAGAGCTGTCCTTCAATATTTGCATTTTTAAAAAGATTTATTTATTTATGCACACAAGAACTGGGCTGTAGGCCAGAGGTACAGGGGCAGTGAGAGGATTCACCAGACACAGAGTGGGGAGCAGAACAGGCAGATCTCCTGAA